ACATATAATTCCTCAAGCCCTTTTCTCCATCTCTTTCTCTCTTGTCATGTCCTCTCTATCTTCCCTTAGTTAAATAGGCCACAACATGTTATCAATTTATTGTGGTGTCCTCTCTTTTCACTAGAGATTATTTTTTGCTCATTTCTCCTTATTGGTTTGAAGTTCAATAACAAAATTATTGATTAATTATATTATTGTTGTACGCCTTGAAAACCTACATGCATTTGCCTGTTGCATATTTTTCTCTATATATTGTGTTTGTTCGCATGTATTATGAACCTGAAGTTCAAAATTCCAAACCCGAAGTTTTGAAAAAAAGTGTCATAGAAACCTGAAGTTTCTTACCACGCACCACTCATATTGAGCCTCAAAGTTTGCCATGATTAATCCATTTAAGCCTAAAGATCTCTTAGAACCTGAATGTTCTAACTTGGATGCATATGGAGATTATATTATAGGTACCCCAATGATTTGACTATGAGGTACTAAACGGTATAGACTCAGTTTCGGTTACTGTCTACCGAATGATGGTACCCTGATTTGGCATAAATGCACCAACATGCATGCTCTAGTTCGGCAGAAGTGCATCGAAGGGTGTGATTTGCTTCAGCAGAGGTGTATCGAACATACCCCTCTAGTTTCAGCTTGAACCTCTCGAATTTAAGTTTGGGTCTGTCTTTTTGTCTCTCTCACACCCACTTTCAAGTTTGTTTTACAACATGTGTTAGAATCAGGGCCTTCCAAGGCGTGGCAACACATCCGGAAGCGTGATTCATCACCACCTAAGACCTAAAACTTCAAGAATAAGGGATGGTATGCACAAGCCTCAACCATACGCATTCTAGGAATGGTATATCCGCAATGGATGATCACTAATTGGTAGATTATGCTTGGTATATCTGCAACGAAGGACAATACGCATTATAAGGGTAATCGTGCTTGTTATATCTGCAATGAGTGATTACTGTTTACCTAGGGTTGTAAGGATTGGTTGTTCTTGGTAAAATCGCGATGGCGACTGCATCCTTGTTGGATTCCATTGAGTTGTTCGAAATCTCAGTTCTTGTTCATTTCTGTTAAGATAGTCCGGAACCCCAAATTCTTGTGAATAGAAATTGCTCACAGTAGACATTTTTGTTTGTAAATTAGGGTTACAATGTTATTACTTGGAATTTAAGTAGGGACACATAAGGATTTTCATTATTAAATTTCGTGAAAGGATACTTGATTTTGTTGGTTGATTAAGGTAGTAAATGTTAATATTGTGCATCTTTGAGTTTTCGAATCGATTTTTTTTTTTGTAATTGTGGAATTGTGTGTTGAAAACTTTGTGATATAGGTGGATCACGAAATAACTATCCTGGTTGGCATGTGATTTGGTTATGTAGTCTGGAATCTAGTGAGTCATATTTGTTGAGTTCCATTGAGTGATTATTCAACTCTATGTTTCTTGCCAATTAATGTTAGATCCCACATCGTCCAGGGGAGTGGATCCCCTATGCCTTATATGTACATGCCCACCTCTATTAGCACGAGGCCTTTTGGAAGCTCACTGGCTTCGGGTTCCATCGGAACTCCAAAGTTAAGCGAGTTCTTGCGAGAGCAACCACATGATAGATGACCTACTGAGAAGTTCTCGTGTGAGTTCCCAGAAACAAAACCATGAGGGTGTAATCGGGGCTTAAAGCAGACAATATCGTGCTACAGCAGAGTCGAACCCAGGATGTGGTGGGGGCCCGGGCCGGGATGTGACAATTTGGTATTAGAGCCAATCCCTGGGCGAAAGTGTGCCTACGAGGACGTCGGGCCCCTAAGGGGGTGGATTGTTAGATCCCACATCGCCCAGGGGAGTGGATCCTCTATGCCTTATATGTACATGCCCACTTCCACTAGCATGAGGCCTTTTGGGAGCTCATTGGCTTCGGGTTCTATCGGAACTCCGAAGTTAAGCGAGTTTGTGCTAGAGCAATCCCATGATGGGTGACCCACTAGGAAGTTCTCGTGTGAGTTCCCAGAAACAAAACCGTGAGGGCGTGGTAGGGGCTCAAAGCACACAATATCATGCTACGACGGAGTTGAGCCCAGAATGTGGTGGGGCCCGAGCCGGGATGTGACAATTAACGCCTTGAGAAATTTCAGAGTTTAACAAAGTGTGAACTACAAATGGCTTGATCTAGTTTTAGGATACGTAGGCAGTCTAACTCAAATGTTAGATGCAGCCATCAAAAAATAGAAAAAGTTAAGTTATTGAATCTTTGGTTTGTTTTTTCATCATGTCTCGGAAGTGAGGTATGATAGTTGAACATGACGTCACATGTCGATCCTAGACGTATTTTAGAATCAAGGCTGAACAATTTTAGTGGTAGTGGAACTTATGTATTAGGTTCTAGTACCCTTTAGTTTTGCCAACGGTGGGTCTTGTTTAGGGTTAGGGTTGCGTCACCATGCATATGTACATGAAGTGGTGGGTTAGAAAATTTAGCATTTGTTGGTATTTTTTGTTGAATGAGGATCGTTACTGGATCCTCCAATCACATTCATTCATCTTATATTGTGCGGTTGAGAAATCATTGTAAATTATTTTTCTTTAAAATTGAATACAAGCAGTAGCTGACAAAAACTGACTGTACAATGTACAATAAACGAATGTAATTGGAGAATAATCGATATTCTCACAAAGAGAATCTGGCAAGGATCCTCATTCTTTTTTGTTGGTATTTTGAGCAGAATATAGCCCAAAAACAAGTTTGGACTAAACCATATTTTAGGCTCACGAATGAAGTTGGTCAAAGTATTTTATCTGAGCACGAATTTGTTTAGAAGAGAATAATTGCCCATCCGACGATTCACTTCCCATATTTGTGCAATCAAATTGTTTTGGAGAGACAATTGGTGGAGTTTTAAATTAAATTAAAATAAAAAGAAAAACTAAAGTTGGTGCAACTTCCGAAAAGTCCGTTTTCGTGGAATCATTAGGTTAAAATCTTCTCAACCCACAAAGGCATGTGGCTTCTTCTGTCGTTTTAATTTTGTGACGTCTGTCCACATATTTAATGGTGTTAATTTGGTAATTTTTTTGTGTGTGTGTGTGTGTGTATATATTTTACCGTAAAAGTTTTGATGGGTGAGTTTATACTTCGATTGTTTTTGTATTGATGTTATGAACATAATGGGGTTGATCGGAGGGAGTAAAGAGTTTATCAAATTTGTTTTAAACAAAGGAAGCAGGGGAAGAAAGGGGTCGTGGATTGTTTTGCAAGTGTTGCAATCTTTGAGTGAACCTTAGTTTTGTTTGATCGATGCGACTATAATGAGGTTAGAAATGCTTTGAGTATATTACTGAACATGCTTGGCTAATATGGTGCCATCTTCTTAATCAGGTTTTGGATTCAATTAAAATTGAATTGGGAAAACATTTAGGTTCAGGATTGGTCTTTAAACATTTCGGGAATATCGAAAATTGGGAATACTGAAATCGTAATTCGGGATTGGTCTTTAAATTCCAGTCCCACAATTTTTTTTGTTTGGGATTCGGATTCCATTTTTAAACCGTTTACCCATGAATTTAAATGGACGGTTATAGGTATTGTTGCGATTATAAATAGATACCATTTTAATCATATATTTTAATATATGTAAAATAAAAAAAAACTTAAAACCCTAAAATTAAAGGAAAAATAATGAAAAGGGTTTGAAAACTTTGAGTTTTAATGATAATGACAAAATAAAGGGTAAAATGAATAGTACCAGGATTGACTTTTTAGTGTAAAAATGTGATTTTTCGTTAAAATGAACAGTACCATGAACTTTTTGTTAAAGTTTCTTAAAATTAATTGGGATACTAATTCAAGTTACATTTTTTGTAGGCCTCTGAGAAAGGCCACAGAAGGGCCATAGGGGCGACCGGGCGTGGGTCGGGAAAGACACATGAGGATCTAACAAATTAGGAGGGAGGCAGATTGTCTTTCTTATTTGGTATATTTTTCATCTCCTCTATTTGACGACGTAGTTTAACTCACAAACAAAAAAGATGGGAAGGGCATAAAAAAAAGATAGATAATTGCCTCCAATTAGGACATAGCAGGGAGTCGACGCTGTAAACTTTGGTGAAGAGGATGGACACGTGTCACATGCTGAGATAGGCCACAGAAGGGCCGTAGGGCATTGGGGTGCAGAAAATCTGGACTAGCATTGATTTACACCAGAGAAAAAATTTCACCGCGGAGAATTAATTAAAAAATCAAATTCCAAGGGCCGCGTGGGCCGAGAACACGCAGAACCGTTGGATTAAATTGGTATTTTTTACTTTCAACGCTTGGGATACAACGAGGGTTAGATTACGGAGAATTTATTGAAAAAACAAAGTCCAAGGGACGCGTGGGCTGAGAACACGCAGAGCCGTTGGATTAATTTATTGCTTTTACTTTCAAAGCTTGGGATACAACGAGGGTTAGATTGGCAGAGAATTAATTGACAAAACAAAGCCCGAGGGACGTGTGGGCTGCGACGCAGTGCCGTTGGATTGATTTAGTTGCTTTTACTTTCAACGCTGGGGATACAACGAGGGTTAGATTCGTTTTGCTATAAAACCAAACCATCCGAGTATATGGAGTCAGAGAGAAAGTACATATAGACATTTCCCCTTAAGGGAAAATCCGCAGCGCGCCTCAGAGCCGTCACGCCCGCGGCCCGGCCGAGAATAGGCAAATCATGTTGTATCATGAAATAAGCAGATCTGAAAAATCGAAGTTCAATACTTCTTTTTCAGATCTTTTTATTCCATTTTACCTCATGAATTTAAGTTTGCTAATTCCCAGATCTGGAGAATTCCATGTGCTTTATTTCTTTCTCAGGTCTTATTATTCTATATTTTCTAAAGTTTGTAGATCTATCAACTCCGAAATCGTTATGGGCCAGAACATTTTCAAGTGTGCAAATTGTTTCAATTCCGTTAACTTTCGAAATCTAGGTACACATAATTTTTTTATTTAATTTTCAATTCTTATCAATTTACAGTTTAATCTGTTTCAGTTTTTGTTGATTTTTATTTTTCTGGTAATTAATTTATTTGATTTGTTCAAGGTTGTCAATATGGTAAATTTTGCAGCGATTTGGCCTTTGCTTGGCCCGTTTTTAACCTTTTGTTCCTGGTCTGCCCACAAATAGAATTGCACATATACGAAATCAAAACCCCTGCTCATTCTTCAACTATTTCGTTTTGTATCAATTCCCCAATTGTTTTGCACAGAATTTTTGCAAAAGTGCTATTGTTTCAATTCCGGCAGATTTCGTAATTTATGTAGGATTTTTATTTTTGTTTTCATTTTTTTTAAATTCTTATAAATCCACAAATTATATTGTTTTATTTTTTGGTTGATTGGTATTGTATATTAGTCTGGGAATTGATTTTGTTTGCTTTTTTTGCCAATATATGTTAAATGTAACAGCCATTTGGGCTTTGCCTTTCATTTGGCTTGGCCCAATTTTCGAACCATTTGTTCCTGGCCTGCTAACATGTACAATTCTACAAAGCTGAAATCAAAACCCTTGTTGTATCTATCACAATTCCAAACCCTAGGTCGCAGTCGTTATATTCATCCGTCCAATTTTTGGAATTGATTTCTTTGGCATTGATTTTGCATTCTGGTATGTTATTATTATTAATCTACATTTTGTTTTCTTTTTCTGCGTTCATTCTTCTTTCTTTAATCAGATTTGTTTTCAGTTTCTTTTCCTAATCTGAATAATTTATCAATTTTAGTTGTTATTTTGGAAATGTAGATTGTTCTTATCCATGGATCAAAAATTGGATGTTCAATTGGTAGAGAAGGTTGTAGATGTCACTGGGACTGTACTTGTTGCATTCCTTCTTCCTTCTGGTGTTGCTATGGGTGGAGATGCAAGGGTCACATCTGTGACTGATTCTATGAGTAATTTTATCTTTTATTTGTTTTCTTATTTTTTGAATTTTTTTATACGTGTTTTAATAATTTTTTTCCTTTTTTCCAGTTAAACATCCTGAGTGCAAAATTTTTGAAATCAGGAAAAATCCTCCTATTGTTGCATCTTGGAGCCATAGTTCTCCAGAAGGGAAGGAGTTTATGGCTTATTTAAAAACAAATGCAAGAAATCGGACCATTCATCAACTTGTGGAGGATGGTACATCACATTTAAAAGAAATTAATCGGAAATTTGATATACAGTGCTTTGTGTGCTCAGTAGTGAACGGGGTATGATATGCTATGCTAGTCCTTTTTTTATTTCCATTGTTTGTAATTGTAGTTTTTATTTTATGATTTCCTTATTTTTATCTGTTTTTTGCTGTGTAGGAGCCAATAGGTTATATCGTAAGTAGATTCTGTGATACAAAGCATGATAAAGGTTGCAAGGGGAAATTTAGGGCTAGTGTTAAGTGCAGTTGTGAAGGGTTTTATATTGATTGTCATAATAGGCCATTAGGAATAGGGGTGCATTGTATAGGCAGTGGTAATAAGTCTGCCTATACTAGTTTGAAGATGAATTTCAAGGGGAGAGAGAATTACCGACGATCAACGCAAGAGTGGAACATTGAAGAATTGAAACTTAATGGATGTCCGAAATTGGAAAGAGCTCATGTACCTGTACTTCAGGCTATGTTGTTTGCTTCGTTCAAAAATGAATCATGTGGATCTCCATTTTTGGGTATGATATTGCTTTTACAATTTTGTTTTAATCTTTTGTTCTTTCATAATTTTTAATTTATGTTTCTGTGATTCTGTCTCTCTGATTATAATTTTTTTTCTTCATATCTTGTATTTTAATAGTTTTTAATTTATGTTTTGTTGTGAATCAGTTTCGGTGACATCAGTTTTTATTTAAATCTTGTTTTTTAATAGTTTCTACCATCTCTACTGGAGGAGAAATCAATGCACGTTTGGCTCGTAGCTTCTGGAGTTCTTATAAGGAATTCTTTCCTTCTTATGATGAATCACATGCAACAACAATTTTTCTTATATATCATCGCCCTCCTGAGGGATCTGATTATGGGAAAATAGTTGTTAAGAATTTGTGAGTGAAAAATACTTTTTTTATTTTTTTTAAGTTTTTCAAGTTTTGACATGTTTTGGTGTTGTATTTGTTTTGTAGGATTCCTCCTCAAGTTGTAAGGGCCTCGGGTTTTTCTGTTGCTGAGTTACCTGGTGATAGGGTTTTACATTTTGTTACTTTGACAAGGGAAAGGGATGTCGATGAACTATGGTCTGATTTTGATTCAATTTGGTTGATGGAAAATCCTGACATTGTCGATGAATTTTGTAGGGATAAGGGTAGTTTAAGATTTTCTAAACTTGATCTATCTAATCATAGGGATAATAAACATGGTGTTGATGTTGTGAATGACTTTGAGTTTGTCTTTTTGGTAAGGCGTTGTGAGGAGTTTCTGGATTCGTTGATTTTTGATGAAACATACACTGAAGCTGTCAATTCTGAGGCTCTTGGGTTTTGAGGTGAGATTTGGTCTATGTATATAGCTTACACATTCTGATTTTGAATACGTAAATCATTTGTTTTGTAAAATATTTTTGTTTTGTGGATTTCTATTAACAAGTTATGTAACTTTTGGTTATCTTGGGATGATGGATTTTGTTTATGTTTATGATACAGGACAAAGGCATGCCACTTCGGAGGTTGGAGGTGCTGTTTAGACGAATGAGTGAAGATTTTTGTGGCTTCTTTTGTTCTAGGAGTGAAGTCCATATTTGTTGTTAGAAACGTTAGTTTGATTATTTGGAAGTACAATTTGTTTTGAGAAGGTTTAGTGTTATTGACAAATTCTGTGGAGTGTCCTCTGTGAATGCTCCCCCTTTTGTATTTGGTTTCCAATCTGTTTTGGATTTTGTCTACTTGAATGAATCAATTGCTGCAGCCTTTGAAAAACAGATTCTGTCGAGTGCTGATGCTTTACTTGGCTTACATATGCAGTGTGAAATTTATGTTTTTCTTGAAAACTTGTTTGTTAGACAATTAGTAGAACTGCAGATTATTGGCAGAAAAAGAAATGGTTTGGGGGGGTTGTCATGTTAGCGGTGTAAGTTTTGCCGTGCAAGTTATTGCAATCGTGGTCAATGGTCAATATCCTCTTTAACTTTTGCCATCTTCCTCTAAGAAGCTGTGAGTAACTTGCTGTAAGATTTTGCGTTCCTGGAAAGACCCTACACTTCCATGCTTGGTAGCTAACCAAGCGGAATCTTTCTGGACAAACCGGAATGGGTTAGGCTGACAAATACAAGGCTGCTGACATTTATAAGCCAATTTTGTGTTTCCAAATCAAAGTTATTTATAATAAAGTCTATTGTAGCAAGAGAAGTAAAGTTATAAGCCAGACAATTCAACTCAGCTAGGCACACAAAGTTCATCAATCTTCTCAATCCTTTCTGAAACACACCATTGCAAGGTTATCTCCATCAATGAGGTTCCAAAGTGACAATATCATCACTGTCCCGCACTCGAGGTTAACTCAAGTCAGTGGGGTCAGTGGGGACCTCAACTTGTGGTAATTGCACCGCTCGATCCATAATATGACAGCTTTAAGTACTGCAAATTCCTCAAGGGGATCCTAAGAATTCAGGAATTGTAATGCAAAAGCTCAATCCAACTGTTTCAAGGACTTGAGCATCGTACCAACGTCCAGTTTCTTTATCACTGGCGTTAACAGGGGTGGAGTTTTTTTGGGGATAAGATCAAGGAAAAGCCATGGGAACAATTCCAAAACATCAACACCAGAGCGAATATTAAATTGCATAGAACATGAAAACCACTTTCTTCCTATAGGACTGTCTACGTTTGTTCCCCACATAACGCTCAAAAATTTAAAACTTATCAATAGTTATATGCTACAAAGTATGATTTACTACATATCCAATCTATTAGCTTTCAGTTTTGACATGACGCATGCAAGACTTGCCTGGGACAACTTCCATCTCTAGCTAGATACTCGGTAATTGGTTCATTCTGTTTCGTAACCCTTATTTATTCTCGATCTATATGTGTCATCCTTGTGCAAAGATTACGCTAATCTTCTCCGTATCATTCTTGAAACATATGTCGACAACTTTTCCTATTCTATACAACTAAGAAGATGATGTGGAAAAAAAGGTATCATGTCAGACCTGCCTTTCTGTCACAACGAGTGGCAAACTTCATCTCGTTGTAGTTTTGATGTATTGAGGGGTTATTAGGCACAAAGAATATTGTCGGAGATTGGTGGTTATGCTGTTTTTTGTCCAACTGTATATAGATATGATAAGACTGAAGCATATACCCATTTACGGAAGAGAAGGATCTTCACGTTAATGTGGGTTGTTTGATTAAGTTTCTGGTCACTTGGAGATCTACTAAGATTAGGTTGTTTGATAATAACTTGGAATTCAGTTATTTGATGGCGAAAGAAGGGTTTTGGACTGAGAAGGAGGTGAAGTTCACTGCAGCTTGGCTTCAAGATCTGCTTTCTGTGGGGTATATTAAGCCGAGGCACAAGGTCATAGATTTGGATAATCCTGTGAACAACCATTGGTCATGCAAACCAGAAGGAATTTATTCCCCAAAAACTACCTTCTGCGCATCTTGGGGGTTAAGGAATCAGAGACGGTGATCATGAGATGGGGAACTCGATTCAGTGGAGGAAGTTTTTTGGCAATGTTGTTATGACCATGCTTGTCAGTGCGCCTATGGAACGAACTGCATTGGAGCGGAGATTGCTCTATGGAAGGTATTTGAAACTGTGGTGATTTTGTATGACAGTTGTAAACAAGACTTAGCTGTCGAGAAAGCTACATTGGACCAAGTGTACAAGTTACTAGTTATGCCGTGGTTTCTTTGTCACCGTTGCCAACTTCTGCACACGTTCATAGGTTTTCTGTTTTGGTTAGACCACTCTGCATTGTTTTTTTTTTTGTCCTTTGCGTGTGTAATCAGGTGTATGTCTGTGTCTTTGATCACTCGATTCACTTTAATCTCCAATTTTTAAATGCATATTGTGCTGCCCTCACAATTCACAAAATGCATTCAGGTATCTCCCCAAGATATTTGACAGGTTTAAAAGGGCAGAAGGATTCTTGTTCCTCCAGGACCATATCATTCTCAACTACTGGAATTTACTGCAAGCAGACAAGACTAAGCTGTGATCAGTGACGAGGTAATGTGAAATCCCGAGTACAACGCCCTGGATTTTGAACCAACGCTGACTGATCTGTCGTTCACTCTCTCTTTTGCAGGTGCTCACTCTTTCTTTTGCAGGTGCCTCAGTCTTGGACTACATCCTCAATCTACGGTACTTGGAATGGTTGTCAAAACAAGGAAATACGGTAAAGAAAGGGGTCAGCACTATGCATTTCATTTACAAGTCAATTACAAGGAGAGCATCACACAGGAGCGGAGTCTTGTTGTATGTAGCTCCGAGGTATTCTATATTCCTCGACAATTTGTTGGGGACTTTGTTGACCTTGTCGGTCTTGTGGGAAATTTTCAAATCCACAATAAGGTATCAGTTCCCATGTTATTCATAGCAATGGATTCGCCTAACATATGCGACTCTGTGGTCAATACAATGATTTATAAAGCCCAAGGCATCATATAAAGCATTTGAAAAGCATTTGGCAGAGAAATCTTGTCGAACTATTGACAGCATGTCAAAATCGATTTTCAAGGATACGATTTCAAAGCTCTGGTTTGTGAGTTCAAGATGAATGGGAGCCTAGAAGAATGGCTGCATATTTCAGTTCAAACCGTAGACAAGCCAACCAATCTGAAGAAGAATCTGAATCTTATTCAGAGAGTAAACATTGCCATCAATGTAGCATGTAGTGTGGATTATTTGCACAACCAGTCTCACATGCCAATAGTTCATTGTAATTCAAATCCCAGTGACATTCTGTTGGAGAGTGACATGACTGCCCGTTTTGGTGATTTTGGTTTCGCAAGGTACCTCCCAGGCTCTTGTTCATACAAAAACCGCTTCCAATGCAACAAAATGCTCAAAAGCACTTTACTGTCTTTCTGTTTAGCATCAATGTGAAATATATGAATAACTTAAATTCCGTGGCAAATACAAATTAACTTTTTTTTGTTTTTTTTTTCCTTTTCTTTTAGCAAAACAATAACATCAGTGAGTTAAATAATTATTTTACAAGATTTTATTTTGAACTGATCTAAATTGTTTTTTTTTAACCTAGCATAATTCCCTTTTTTGACAGTTATTACTCATGTTGACTTTTTAACTCATCCCTTGAACATGACAAAATAGGCTATTTAAAAGTAAAATGGTAACCTTACCAAAATGGTCATTTCCCCTAACGAGTACCCCAACTTTCTTCCCCAGTGTGTTTTGTGGCTGAGCCTTTCGTGGATGGCGAACGACTGATAGAAGAGAGAGACAATCGACCTTCACCTCCAAGCGTTAGCGATGGCGCCGAAGCCGAGTATTGCAAAGGTGGTCAGAAACCCCCATAGTCTAAGGAACACTCTCAAACAGGCTACGTCTTATGGTTGGAGACATTGCAATATTTCGGAGGTCAACCAAATAGACCTTAGTTGTGACTTCTTCGAACCATGCCGAAATTCTCATCCTACACAAAGCCATTCGGGAATGCTTATGGCTGAGAGTTGTTGTCGACAATATTTGAAACACCTGCGGACTTTCTTCCATCATTGACATCCCTACAATAGCTTATGAAGATAATGAAGCAGGTATCGAACAGATCGAGAAATGATAAATCAAAGAAGATAACACCAAGCATATTGTGTCGAAATTCTTTTTCTCTCATCAACAACAAGAACATAAGAAGATTGAAGTAAAAAAAATTCGTTCCAATGACAACATACATAGCCGACCTATTTAACAAGTTATTGTAGAAGTCTATTTTTCAGAAGCTTGTATCTTGTTCGAAGAATTGGTATGCTTAAATTTTTTGAGTTGTAACATTGTTAGTTTTCTTTAGAATTATGTCAAACTCAGGGGGAATCTTCTGAAATATACTTACTTGACCTTAATATACTTTTTTCCCTTAAATCTTTGCTATTTTATTAGATTTTAATGAGACATCCATTCTGGATTCATTATTGACATTTAAATTTGCTTTGTACCCCACTCACCGTTTTCCTTAGAATATGGGTTTCTGTCCCATATTGGCACATGTTGTTTGTATTTTCTGGCCTTGGTGTGTGTGACGCGTGGGGCCCTCCCTATTTTGTAGAACTCTCTTCTCTCTCTCTCTTTTCTCTCGACACCACCTCTCCTTGAGTTCACTTCTCTCTCCCCCGAGTCTCTCACATCTAGGGATTGACAAAATATCCACCGGGTTTTATTTAAAATTCATACGGTTATGAATAATTATTTAAACAAATAAACAATTATGGGCATAGGGTTGGAATTTATTCCGAAAATCCCAAATCAAACTAAAAAAGTTTCGATCCCATATCTAAAAATTCTCAAACTGATAATACCAAAATTTTCAGGATCCCTACCGAGCTGATCCCGAACCTTTTGATACGGGAATCAAGATTGCATATTCAGTGGTTCGGAAATCCCAAACTGAACCGAAAATATATATACATTTATTTTGGTTAAGTATGATAATTATTGTCCTCTGTTTTTTAAAATTTTGTTTTTTTGTGTGTGTGTATATTTTACCGTAAGGTTTTGATGGGTTAGTTTATACTTCGATTGATATTGGGTTGTTCGAAGGGAGTAAAGAATTTATCAAATTTGTATTAAACAAAGGAAGCTGGGGAAGAAAGTGGTCATGGACTGTTTATGGACTGTTTTGCAAGTGTAGCAATCCTTGAGTTAACCTCAGTTCTGTTTGATCGATACAACTATAATGAGGTTCGAAGTGCTTTGAGTATATCACTGAACAGGCTTGGCTAACATGGTGTCATATGATGAAATTGAGGTTCCACCATAAAAACAATTAGCAATATGGAGAGTAGCCCAAAACCATATAAGCACATAGTAAACCTTGTCCTTCACCGATGTGGGACAACTCTCAACACGCCCCCGCACGTGTGGCTGATTTTCAAGCCTACACGTGGACAAACCTTGTCCTTCACCGATGTGGGACAACTCTCAACACGCCCCCGCACGTGAGGCGGATTTTCAAGCCTACACGTGGACAACAACTGGGTGACGTAGAGCGCGTGTGGCCGTTTGGCTTCACACGAGGACAATCCGCTCTGATATCATGATGAAATTGAGGTTTCACCATAAAATCAATTGGCAATATAGAGAGTAGCCCAAGACCATATAAGCACATAGCAAACCTTGTCCCTCACCGATGTAGGACAACTTTCAACACCATCTTCTTAATCAGGTTTTAGATTCGATTAAAATTGAATTGGGAAAACATTTCAGTTCGGGATTGGTCTTTAAACATTTCGGGAATCTTGAAAATTGGGAATACTGATATCTCGATTCAGGATTGGTCTTTAAATTCCAATCCCGCAAATTTTCTGTTTGGGATTCGGGATTCCATTCTCGATGTGGGATCCCATAACTGAACCACCCCTAGGCATAACAGTTTACCCGTGAATTTAAATGGGCAGTTATGGATATTGCCCGCAGTTATAAATGGGTACCTGTTTAATCCTTTATTTTAATATATGTAAAATTAAAAAATTAAAAAAAAAATTAAAAACCCTAAAATTAATTGGGATACTAATTCAAGTTATATTTTTTTGTACGCCTCTTTAGGTGACAACAAAATCAATGAGACTGTATGATTGAACTCAAAGTTTGGTGTTGTAAACTTTGTGGTAATGAGAATTTGGAAATTTTCAACATCTTTGTTTTTTGATTAATTTTTGCTAGTTATAACTTGTATGAATTAGAAAAGACTCTGATACTTTACAACATTAAGCTCAAAGCCTGTTGAACCGAAGCAATCATGATCGTAGGTAATAGCCCCATTGAACATGTCTTAACTCTTACTCATACCTCTATCTCTACTCGAGTTTTGTATAGGCGATGCCCAAAGGGTTTTCACATTGTTGAGCATTGATGAATTTGAACAGAACCGTAATACTACCATAAGCTTGACAAAGGAAGAAGAACAATGTTCAAGTCATTTCCATACGTTGCTCTTTCTACATAAGCTTGGTCCACAATGGCAGCTAATGAACATTTTATTTCTATTTACCTATAAATGGGTAAAAAATGTGTAGATGGGTGGAAAAAAAGTTAAATGGGTACGCAGTTTCTGACGACTGTGATGGCAGCGAACGAAGGTAGTGGAGGACGGAGGCGCCATCGACCGAAGTAAGGGAGAAGAAGAAGGATATGGCGTTAACTCTTTAGAATATTCCCTGACGCCGCCAGGTTATGATGTCAGCTTTCTGTCAGTTTTTAACGAAATATTCCATCTTAGCAATGAAATATTCCTTTCAATTTTAGGTCGCGCATGGGGGTGTGCACACGGCGGTCCGGGGCCAAGACCCAAAATGTCTTTTGATACCATGAGAGTTGGCTTTTTGCATACTTATAGCGTAATTTCGTAGTTTTAACTTGACGTAATTCTGTTTTTTCACCGTTATTACTAAGGTTGACTTTTTAACTCATCTTTTGAACATGGCATGATCGGCTATTTAAAAGTAAAATTGTGTTACTTAGTACTACAGTCTAGTAGTATCCCTTTTCACTTGTAAGTAAAAAGTCTTAGTTTCAAAGAAAAACTAATGAAAATGACTTGAAAACTTTGAGTTTTAACGATAAGGACAAAATAAAGGGTAAAATGAAGAGTACCAGAATTGATTTTTTAGTGTAAAAATATGGTTTTTCCTTAAAGTGAACAGTACGGCAGACTTTTCGTTAAAGTTCACTAGTTTCAAGTCTCGCAAAATGCAAATTTAAACTACATTGTTGTTAATCGGTTGTGAGGCTAAGCCAATCCCCTTCCCGTGTACCTAATATCCTTTGTTAAAAAAAAAAAAAGTAAAATGGTGAACCTTACCAAAATTTATATAAAAACTAGGGAACCTTAATCGGTTGTGAACTTTAACATTTAAAATTTAAGTTAGGTGTAGAAAGAGATTATGTGGGTTCAAATAAAATTTCTCATTTATCAAATATAACCAAAAATTAAACCTTAATTTTAAATATGTCAGTTTTTATAAAAACTTTCAAAGACATCCAAATTACACATACATAGACATAAATGCCCTCAGTTTTTATAAAATGGTGAACCTTACCAAAATTTATATAAAAACTGACATATTTAAAATTAAGGTTTAATTTTTGGTTATATTTGATAAATGAGAAATTTTATTTGAACCCACATAATCTCTTTCTACACCTAACTTAAATTTTAAATGTTAATTGTCCCTTTTATCATTTGTATAATTACCATCAAATACAATATAAAATTAATAATAAAACTTATATTTATCAATAAGCCCACACCTTATAATTAAACCCACCATCACTCCTTATTTATTCTACTTTCATTTCGGCTAAAACCCTAATAGCTCTTATAGAGAAAAACAAGCTTTTTTTTATTTTTTATCGATAGATGGTGATTCCGAAGTTTTGAATACACAACCTTTGAAGCATCTTCTTCTGCTCAAGAAAATCTATTATTCCTACATGAAAATAAAACCACGAATACATGAATATCAAGAAAAAAGGAAATTGAAAAATGTTAGGTATATGGAATATTCATAAACAAGTAGAAACTTCACTAAATTATTTAATTTTGAATTATTTTCTAATTGGATTTGGGAGGGTAATTTAGGTAATAAATTTTTTTGTTTAAAGAGATATTAATTCTTTAATTAAAAATAAGAATAAATAGCCAAAATGGTTTGCATAACTCATCACTTTGGTCCCTAATATTTCAAATCAATCAAAGTGGTCCCTGAGATTGTCCAGCATCCATCATTTTGGTCCTTCCGTTACAAACTCCTTTAAAGTATTCCGGAGCTCTTGGCCGGAAGTTTGGGCAATTTTTAAAACTTCGTAACTCAATCGTTTCTTAACCAAATTCGACTCATAATATATCAAAATGAAGATAGGAAAGTGTAGAAAAAGATTATAGCTATTTGGAAGCCCAATGGTTGCCGGAGATGGCCGGAAAATAGTATCAAAGTTGACTGGTCCGAGAGAAAACTGAAAAACTCGGCGGAAACTGATTAAACTTTAAACGTTCATAATTTCTTCAATACTCAACGAAATCAAGTGATTCAAAAACGAAAATCATACTTCTCGACGAGACGAAGAGATTGGTACTTTTTTGGATGGCCAAGAGTTCCGGGACACTTAACGTTGTTTTTAATGGAAAGATCAAAATGATGAATGGTGGACAATCTCATGGACCACTTTGATTGATTTGAAATGTAAGAGATCAAAGTGATGAGTTATGCAAATCTCATGAATTATTTTGGCTATGTAACTTAAAATAATAAGTGTTTAAAGAATAAGTTAGGTGTAGAAAATGTTACCTGATTCAAATAAAATTTTCCTCGATAAATTCTGTAGCCTTTCGTAGACGGCGAGCGACTGATAGGAAGAGAATCTTCACCTTCACCTCCGGTGTTAGCGATGGCGCCGGAGCCGAGTATTGCAGGGGTGGTCAGAAACCCAGATCTGATTAGAGGGATTGGAAAATACTCGAGATCCATGATGTACCACAAGCGAGGACTTTGGGCTATCAAGGCCATTAACGGCGGCGTTTTCCCCCGCCACGATAAGAAAGCAGCCGCCGTCGCCCCGGCAGTCAAGCCTCCTAAGTTTTACCCCGCCGACGATGTCAAGAAGCCTCTCGTCAACAAGCGCAAGGCCAAGCCCACAAAGCTCAGGTCTCTATCTTTCACTGTTTCTCAATCATCTTCATATCTATAGATTATGTGTATGTGTGTATTTCTTTCTGGCCCTTGATTGACGACAAAAATGTGTTGAATTGTCGCCTTAGTGTGTTTGGATTCTGAAAAAATATTAGCTCTTGTGTGATTATTGTCTGAATTCTGTGACTTTTTTATCTATCTAATGGCCCAAAATGTTTTTGGAACCAATCTCAGTAAAAATGCTAGTGAATTCTGGAAAACCACTTCTCAAACGCGTTCTAATTTGTATATTTTTTGAATGACTATTGTTTTCTCAATCGTGTATGTAGTTTTAGGTAGTGAGGTTTTATTTTTATGAGAGAAAAAAAAAAAGGTCGAAAGTGAGAAATATGTGGGATTTTGCAAGCACAGATGGGGCATATGGGTGGGTACACATGGGTATTATTGCTCTGCAATAAGATTGTTACCTGAAAATTGGAAAATGTTGAGATGTGATGTATGAATGTGCGTGTATGCGGTCTAACATTGTCGTATTGGGGCTCTGTTTATGATTTTCAACACTCCATTTCTATCACGGGGATAGAGTGAAGATAGAGTAGAAGTAACAAGATGGATGGTAATAATTGGATCACTTTGTTTGGTTTTTTTTTTTTGTTTTTCTGTTTTTGTGACCTAACATGCACAAACTGCAAGATGGAAATGTGTTTTATCCTTTTCACTTTCGGTGTTTACTTTGAATTGAATTGGTTTGTATAATCTCATATAAGTTTTTGAGTTGTGGTAACCTTTTATGTGTTTTCTTCTCTGGATCTCTAATAATGTTTAGGTGTTTTCTTTCTTTATACCGTGTAGGGCTAGCATTACTCCTGGTACCGTGTTGATCATTCTTGCCGGGAGGTTCATGGGGAAGAGGGTTGTGTTTCTGAAGCAGCTTTCATCTGGCTTGCTTTTGGTCACTGGTAAGTTCTTGATCTCCCCTACATGTTTCATCTGTTTCAGTTCTTCATTACCGAATTGGCTTGGTTGATTTCTTTGTTCTTATTCCTCGTGTCAATTGTTCTGTGGTTTAATCTGTATTATTAATATTAAATGCAAATATATTACAAAGGAAAACGTGGTCATGAACTTGTAGTTGTTGTAATTTGATGGAGCGGTGGCTATTTAGCACATGGAAATAGGTCATTATTTACATTGTGTGATTGAAGTGATTAATTTTGTTAAGAGTGTTTGAGCGTAACTTTAAGATAGCCACTTGGGCTGCGCTTGTTGGTGATTGGGAAGTGTAGTTTCTATTAGTGTTCTTCCCCCACCCCCACCCCTTCTCTCTCTCTCTCTCTCGCTCTCTCTCCCCCCTACATATCCTCTGTGCCTTGTGTCACTATTGGAGTGTTTCGGACTGTTGTTTTCATTACAGGACCATTCAAAATTAACGGTGTTCCTCTAAGACGTGTGAACCAGTCTTACGTGATTGGAACTTCAACTAAGATTGACATCTCTGGGGTTAATGTGGATAAGTTTGATGACAAGTATTTTGCAAAGGAAGTCCAGAAGAAAAAGAAGAAGGGAGAAGGCGAATTCCTTGAAGTGGAGACCGAGGTTGGGTCATTTTATCTTTTTGGTATTTTGAGGGAATACTGTAGATGGTCATTCATTTGGCAGTTTTTTTGTTGTTGTCTTCTAACCTCTGATTTCGTTGTTCAAATTGTAGGACAAAAATGTAATTCCCCAGGTGAGAAAAGAAGACCAGAAGGCTGTTGATACACCCTTGATTGAATGCATCGATACAATTGCAGATATGAAGGAATATTTGGCTGCAAGGTTTTCTCTCAAGCAAGGCATGAAGCCTCACGAGCTTGTTTTCTAGAGACGAAGCCGAAAAGTATATCCTACAAACATTCGGTTTGTGTTTGAACTCGATCTTAGTGGTTATACTCTTTTTAAGTTTTATTTGTAAAAAAAGATGTTACTTCAGATCATGTGTTGTGCGGAGTTCTTTATTTATTTATTTATTTTTAATTAAAGATAGGCGTATTGTGCAATTGGGAAAGTTTATGCGATGTTTTCTTTCAGTATTTCGGGGAAGTGGTTTTCACACGCCCCATTACACTCTTTTATTCTCTCTTTTGGATTGAATAAATTGAGAGTTGATGGGTAGAAATAAACATGGGTATGTAGTAGGGGAGACGGGGTGTGAGAAAATCTATTTATAAATAAACTTTTGTATATTTGTTTAGTGATATAGTCGATTATATAGTAAGCTGTCGGTATTAGCGGGTAGTCCCTCCCCCATCCTTCATCTTCATTGGAAGAAGCCCTTGGTTATGCTTCACTGCTACTCCAAAACCAAAACCAGCTGCTGCTGTTGTATTAAATCAGGATTAGAGTTGACGTCATGCTTGTAGTGACTTCTTGCACTCGTGAATATGAGTTGATGGAGGTGGTGGACTTGGTGCAATGCTTTGAAAGTCGGGAAAAATATGGCAGACCTTTACAGAATTAATTATATTAAATTTATGACATGCTAAAATATTATTTATTTCATTGGTAGATTACTCTTGGGTGGTACTTAAATGCGTACATGATTGGGTCGCTTTAAATTACTGCTTCAGCTGGGTGTTTATTTGCTATTGATTTTGAAATTATTGATACAATGTTGTTCGTTGAGAATATATTGTGACATGTGCCATTTTGGAATTATTGGTGGAATTTTATTCGTTGAGAATATATGTGGAAGATAAAGCGAAATTATTTGTGCATCGCTTATGTAAGAAGTAGTTGGAACTTCGATGTTGAGAAAGGAACTTGGAAAAGAGTGTGACCTTTCATCCAGCCGGGAGACTACAGTTAGAATTTCCCTAATTTCATCTCTTCCGGCCAAATACTTCCTTCTAAAGGTTGTTCGGGATATTTTGTTCATGCTATGGTTAAGAATGAGAGTCCTACCCAACCACACATCTTTTTGTTGCAGAACGGCCCAAAGAAAGAGTCTACTGGCAAAACCCTGAATTTTCCAAAATCAGCCCGAGGGAGAGGCCTGGCACGAATTGCCAGCCCGAGAGCCTGAAGGCTTCCTGATGCACGGTGAAGAAATGTTACCATTGGGAAGTCACGTGGCTTCCCCTAGTCCGTTGGATTTCAACGGTAACAAATTTTGGGCCGTTGGATTTCCAATGGTAAAAAAAATTTAAAAACCTTATTTAATTTCAACTGTTGAATATGAGATCAACGGTCCACATTATTCGACCTTATAAATTAAAAAAAAAACATTGGATAAGAATCTTATCGAAATCCATCACCAATTATTATCTTTTCGGATAATGACACGTGGCGCAACGAGAACGATTTAAAATCTGATCGAAATTTATCCTCAGATTTTGAAAAGGTAACGGTACGTGGCACGACGACATTGGATAAAAATCTTATTGAAATTCATCACCAATAATTGTTTTTCGGATAATGACACGTGGCGCAACGAGAACGATTAAAAATCTTATCCGAAATTACAAATAAAATTATTTTGTATTATTTAAAATAAAAAAACTAATATTTTATTGCCTATTGCCTATTGCCAGGGCTATTCAAATGCAACGATGGAGATGCAAAATGCAATTACTGTTCACTGGGTAGATTAAATAGTGAATAGTCTGGGGGGTTTCCCATGGTGGAGTTGCTCTCTAAGGGAAGGGGGAGTTTGGCTAAACCACATCATGAGCAACCTAATTTGGTATTGAATTCGCCATCTACGATATTCGAACCTAAGACCTCTCAATATTTTAACCTATAAAATTTAAGTTTTAACCAAAAAAACAATTTTTCTTCTCCAATCTTTCTGGTTAAATTATAAGCTTGAGATTATTAAAAGATAAATTTAGGATAATTTTTTTCTTAAAGTAACGTAAGCCGCCTAACTAGCTTTTGAGCAAGTCCGACCATTTGCTGCAAATCGGTAAAATATGAAGGGTATTATGGTCAAATGATGGAGAATTAGTATATAAACCGCCTAACTAGCGCTTCCCCGGCAGAATCCCCAATTTCGCCCGTCGCTTACAAAACAAAACCATGATCAACCGATCCAAGGCCGAGGCCAAGGCCAGGTTCAAGGCTAAGGCCAAGTCGAAGTCCCTAGCCGGACGAGGATCCGGATCCTGGCAGGGGAAGATTCCAGGCCAACCGACGAAGCCCGGAGGTGAGATCCGGACTCCTCCTCTCTCTCATGGTATGCTTTTTGCATGTTTGCTTTGGTTTTAGGGTTTGTGAGTAGGAAGAAGATTATCTGTAATTTCGAATTTGCAGCTTAATTAACACCATGCATGTGTGTTTTTTATGTTTAAAGGGTTTCCGTGCTTGAATTTAAATGGGGTACTTGATGATGCCTAATTTTTATGCGCAGAAAATATGTAATTTTTTTCGTGTTCATTTAATTATTAAAAGCTATAGATATTCATATCACAATCAATTAGGTATTTTGGTATGACCAATTTTGTTTGATTTTCCATGCGTGATTACTAGAGCATAAGTAGAATCTATCAAGTATCATCCCAAATCTGTTCGATTTGGCCTCCTGCAGTTATTCGTGTAGAACTCATTCTCAACAAATTTCATAGGTAGTGGACTATCTATTATTCTCAGTTAGCTATTTATGCACGCAATTCCATTGGGATACCAGCCTTCGAACCCGCAACATTGGGGATTTGTGCTTGCACACTTAACCACAATGGTAGGAAGAAGGCCGGTAGCTATATACACACGCACACACACGCACACGCATACACACGAACCCACAACATTGAAGATTTGTGCTTGCACACTTAACCACAATGGTAGGAAGAAGGCCGGTAGCTATATATATACACACACGCACACACACGCACACACACGAACCCACAACATTGAGCATTTGTGTTTGCACACTTAACCACAATGGTAGGAAGAAGGCCGGTAGCTATTTACACACACACACACGCGCGCGCGCCCACAACTTTGAGGATTTGTGCTTGCACACTTGGCCACAATGGTGGGAAGAAGGCCAGTAGCTATATACACACACACGCACACACACGAACCCACAACATTGAGGATTTGTCCTTGCACACTGAACCACAATGGTAGGAAGAAGGCCGGTGGCTATACACATGCACGCTCAAACACACACATATACATATATAGGTGGCAATGGCATGCATATGGCTGGCATTGTTATCCTCCTAACAAGTTAACCCAGAGACAGAGTAGAACGTGAATGAGCATGAAGCACTAGTAGTAAGTTTTTGATGATTCAACGAGATCGAGAATGCAAACTAATTAAGGGCCCAACCCCAATCCAGATGGCTTACGCACTTAGCTTATATGTGCACTGTGCAATTTATATTATTAATTAATGTATCTCCACATTTCCTCAAACACACAGATGGCCCTCCTACTCAACTCAAAAATCAAAAGGCTGTTGAAAAGAATCTGGCTAAAGTCCAGCTTGACAAGGAGAATTCTACTACTCCAAAACCAAAACCAGAAAAGAGAAAGAGCAGAATGGGTAGAACTTTCCTATTCACAGACCCTTGTCGAATTTGCAATGTGTTTGGGCACTGGACTGATTTATGCCCCTACCTGAAATTTGTCCCATACAACGTAACTAAGGTTGGCAAGGGCTATGAAATACATGACGGCCGCCATGGGAGGTATGCTGCTCCGATTTATTGTCTTAACTGTATGGAGCCGGTTGAACACGAGGCTGGAAAGTGCCCGCACGACACTGATGCATGGCAATAATCCAGGGCCGTCATGGTTCGCCTCCTTCCACCCCATAATCTTGCTGATGGCGAGGAAGGTGTTGGATTATCTAGTCTTGGGCTGTTGCTTTCTTCTTTACTTGCTTTGAGTTTCAGCACTCTGTAGTCTGTGTAATATGTCTTTGAGTAAGCTTACCCTCCCCGTCCGTTGTCACTGATGGCTGGCGGATAGATACTGTATTTGGGTTTGGTTTGCTTGTACTGGTCTTGAATACAAAAGAAAACTGTTAGATCCTGTGAGAGACCAATTGATCCAACTGTTTTTGTTCCATTGTTCACTAGAGAAAGCCCCGTCCTGATGGGCGGATGCGTTTCTCTGCTATGATGTTTGATCTCTCTATTGGCTTTATGCTTTCAAAATAAGGTTGTAAGCTCCATTCCATAGTGTCCGATCGCTTCGCTTGTGAAGTATATAAGCTCCATTCCAAGTCAGTATTTGGATATCGGGAATATCAGGAATCCGATTACTGATTTTGGGTGGAGCCCACTATTATTTTCATTCCCAAAATTTGGTAAGGAATCACTTGGAGAGGAATTTAATTCCCCTTCTTCTACCTCCATTCCGGTTTGGTAAACACGCCATTAGTGAGGTGAGGTGACGATTAGAACACAATTCGGTCGTTACTGCACTCAAATTACAAACAATGTCAAGCATTGCTGTTGTATTGTCCCCGTGCACCTTCTACTTGTAGTTGGCTTCGACAATGGGTTATCCTAGCTTATCTTGGGGCACACATTACTTCATTACGTATCATACCACGGAGACGAGGGAAATTAGACATTTTCTTGACCAAGTAAGAGATTTGCTTGTTGGATCATCACCGTCGAGTAAGAGAAGAGATTGGGAAATTTGGAAAACTAGCCAAAATTTGAACCATAAATAGAATTTTAGCCAATCTTCATAATTTATTATAATTTTAACCAAAATTTGACATGAAAATACAACAACGCCCTTTCTTAACTAAAATAATCACAAAACTATATCTTCTCTTTTGTTCAGTTTCCCTAAAAATACCTTCACGCCTAACTTAATAACTACCTCTCTAAGCAGAACGTTTTGAGGGAAAGGCCCAGTGGCCTCATCCGGTTTGGATGCAAAGCTATGATTTTCTTCCTTCTCAACGACGAGTACCCATTTGAAAATTTCAAGCTCCAATTTTGGTTTGTGGAAGAGGACCTATTTGTGATGATAGGTTTTAAAGCCGTTGGAGTGAGAGAAGCTGCAGAGCAGTGTAAGAGTAACCCCATTGAAGCAGTTTTGGAGCTTCTGATGTCAAATGCCTACGAGTGAAGATATTTTTGTAAGGGAAAAAAACTGCATAGTTTTGCAAATATTTTAGTTTAAAAAGGGTATTTTAGTAGTTTTATGTCAAATTTTGATTAGAATGATAATAAACTATAAAGGTTGGTTAAAATTCTATTCATGATTCAAATTTTGGTTAGTTTTCCAAATTTCCCGAAGAGATTTGATTATTGGACTCCTATTCCCCTAGCGACGCATCTTGAGGAAATTGGAGTCAAATTTCAATGTCCATCTATATGAAAGCTAAGTTGGACATAACCTTCAACCCCATTAATGGTGTGATGGAAATTCCACATATGATAATTCAAGTCAACACAGAATCTGTCTTCAGAAACCTCGTAGCCTACGAACAGTGTTCAGTGAGGCACCATGAATGTTGAATCTTTTCCTGTGTCATGCTGTTCAACCACCTTATCAAGTCTACCAAAGATTTAGACCCTCTCATTCAGAAACAAATTATATACACCGAGTTGACCAAGGAGGACACTGTTTCTTTGTTCAATAGGCTTTGCAATGACACTGAAAGCATTACTTTTAACATAACGAGGAGGTTAGATGTAGCTATAAAGTATACGAAATTTTACTACGCAATTCGAATCATGAATCATGCTTTGTACATATCCCGGAGATGAGGTATGTTAGATATACGAATACTTGGTGACGTCATGTGTTGATTCTGGACAAATGTCGAGATCGGGGCATGACATACAAAGTAGATATTTCATCCAAAAAAAATAAGAAAATAAAAAGCAAATTAAGTAGCCATTTATAGAATAAAAAATTCAATCAAAGGGAAAATTGAATTGTATTGCTTTTTCTTCATACAATTTTTTTCAATGAAATTTCTATTTTATCTTTTAACTTAACAGAAAAATTGACAGAGTAATCTAAAAGGACTATAATTACAACAAAAAGCATGATTCAAAGATGGAATAAATTATTACTTGTGGTATAATTTATTCAGAAACCTTTACTATAATTTATCCAAATCATTCACAAATCTGGAACACAACTTTTCAACAATGGATGGTCGGAAGAGTTTAGTGAAACCAATTAAAGCAGCTGAATTCACATAATAAAATCGGTTTCTATATAATTTACATTAAGAATAGATAAAATAATATTTAATAAACAATTGATTGAATCACATTATTGCTAGCTTATTGTGAAGTTAAACCTATCCCCTCCCCCTTAGTGTAGATAATATCGTTTGTTAAAAAAAAAACAATCATTTGACAACTAATTTAATCACATTATTATCCGCGTGCGTAAGACATTTTTTATAACCAGCATTACGCTCCTCTTAAAATGTTTTGTACGTGTTTAAAAATAGAGAAAATAATATTTACTAAACAACTTATTGAATCACATTATTGCTATCCCATTATGAGGCTAAGCTCACCCCTCCCCCTTAGTGTATATAATATCGTTTGTTAAAAAAAAACAATCACTTGACAACTAATTTAATCACATTATTATCCGCATGCGAATGACCTTTTTTATAATCGACATTACACGCTTCTTAAAATGTTTTGAACGTGTTTAAAAATAGAGAAAATAATATTTAATAAACAACTGATTGAATCACATTATTGCTAGCCCATTGTGAGGCTAAGCCCAATCTATCTCCCTTAGTGTAGATAATATCGTTTTTAAAAAAAAAATCATTTGACAACTAATTTAATCACATTATTATCCGCGTGCGAAATTTTTTTTTATAACCGGCATTACACGCCTCTTAAGATATTTTGAACGTGTTTAAAATAGAGAAAATAATATTTAATAAACAACTGATTGAATCACATTATTTCTAGCCCATTGTGAGGGTAAGCCCACCCCCCTCCCCCTCCCCCTCCCCCTTAGTGTAGATAATATCGTTTGTTAAAAAAAAAAACAATCATTTGATAACTAATTTAATCACATTATTATCTGTGTGCAAATGAGTTTTTTTTTTAAGATGTTTTGAACGTGTTTAAAAATAAAGAAATTGAATCAAATTATTGCGAGCCTATTGTGAGGTACTAATTAAAAAAAACCACAAAAAAATTAATTATTAAAAATTAACTATGAAAATGATGAAAATATCATTGTCTTATTTGATGCATTATTTTGGAATGCCTTTGAAGTTTTTTGTCTTGGGAGCATTTTTGTTCAAATATTTTTGTTGAAGCATGGTGATACCAAACACTATTCACCTTTTCCATTCTCTTTATATATAACTAGCCTTCATGCACGAGCGTGCATAAGACATTTTTTGAATCACGACGTGCTACGTGCGATATATACGTTTTAAATGTATTTATATGTGTAAATTGACAAAAGGAAAGTCAAATATTTAAAGTAAATGAATAATCTTAGATCATGCTAGAAGAAACCCCTCATAAATCAATTAAAACAGCTGAATTCACATAATAACATCGGTCTCTATAAAATTTACATTAAAAATAGAGAAAATAATATTTAATAAATAATTGATTGAATCATATTATTACTAGCCCATTGTGAAGTTAAGCCCACCCCCTCCTCCTTAGTGTAGATAATATCTTTTGTTAAAAAAAAAAAACAATCATTTGACAACTAATTTAATCACATTATTATCTGCGTGCGAAAGACTTTTTTATAACTGACATTACACGCCTCTTAAGATGTTTTGAACGTGTTTAAAAATAGAGAAAATAATATTTAATAAACAACCGATTGAGTTACATTATTGCTAGCCTATTGTGAGGCTAAGCCCGTCCCCTTCCCTTAGTGTAGGTAATATCGTTTGTTAAAAATAAAATAAAAATCATTTGACAACTAATTTAATATAATTTAATCACATTATTATCCGCGTGCGAAAGACCTTTTCTATAACTGGCATTACACGTCTCTTATGTCACATCCTGACCCCGGCTTGACCATATCCCGGGCTTGACTCCACCGTAGCACGATATTGTCCACTTTGGGCCCTAATCATGCCCTCACGGTTTTGTTTCGAGAACTCACATAAGAATTTCCTAATGGGTCACCCATCTTAGAATTGCTCTCACGCGACGAATTCCGAAGCTAGTGAGCTCCCAAAAGGCCTCGTGTTATTTGGAGGTGGGCATGTATATATTAGGCTTACATGATCATCATCCCTAGGCAATGTGGATCTTACAATTCACCCCCTTAGAGGCCCGACGTTCTCGTCGGCACACTTCCGGTCAGGGAGTGACTCTGATACCAAATTGTCACATCCCGACCCGGGCTCGACTCCGCCATAGCACAATATTGACCATTTTGGACCCCGACCACGCCATCACGGTTTTGTTTCTAGGAACTTATACGAGAACTTCCTAGTGGCTTACCCCTCGTGTGATTGCAATTGTGCGAACTCGCTTAACTTTGGAGTTCCGATGGAACCCGAAGCCAATAAGCTCCTAAAAACTGATATTTTTGAAATTAAGGACTAATATTTGGCTATATTTGATAAATAATCCTTCCCCGGCAGAATCCCCAATTTCGCCTGTCGCTTACAAAACAGAACCATGATCAACCGATCCAAGGCCGAGGCCAAGGCCAGGTTCAAGGCTAAGGCCAAGGCCAAGTCGAAGTCCCTAGCCGGACGAGGATCCGGATCCTGGCAGGGGAAGATTCCAGGCCAACCGACGAAGCCCGGAGGTGAGATCCGGACTCCTCCCTCTTCTCATGGTATGCTTTTTTGCATGTTTGCTTTGGTTTTAGGGTTTGTGAGTAGGAAGAAGATTATCTGTAATTTCGAATTTGCAGCTTAATTAACACCATGCATGTGTGTTTTTTATGTTTAAAGGGTTTCCGTGCTTGAATTTAAATGGGGTACTTGATGATGCCTAATTTTTATGCGCAGAAAATATGTAATTTTTTTCGTGTTCATTTAATTATTAAAAGCTATAGATATTCATATCACAATCAATTAGGTATTTTGGTATGACCAATTTTGTTTGATTTTCCATGCGTGA